CCAACACCACTGTTCAATGATTTCAGAGACAGTTTGTGGTGGGTGTCAACGATCGATTCCTTCTCATGCCGTAGATAGACAAGGATCAGCTGGTTAGTTGTTATATAAAGTAGTGGTCACTACGTGACCGATTCTTCAGCTGATCCTGTTCTTCAGGATAGCAGTTAGGAGCGCATGGCCTCCGGTGCTCAGGCACTTGTATATGTATCGGCACACTGTCATTGAATACTGACGAGCATTCTCTCCGATTCTTGCCTCTTACAGTCAAAACCAAGGCCTTGTTTACATCGCAAGTTTTTTCACTCTCTCTCCATCACATCAAATCTTTAGACATATATATAGAGTATTAAATGTAGATAAAAAAATAACTAATTACATAGTTTGATTGTAAATTACGATACGAATCTTTTAAGCCTAGTTAGACCATGATTGGACAATAATTATCAAATACAAATAAAAGTGCTACAATGCCAAATACTGATTCATAACCCTAATCTAAACAAGGCCCAAGGAAGCAACCACACAGCTTACTACCCCTTGGTCGCCTAATCACCTTTCGTGTTTCTTTTTTTCACTACTTTACGGAGTCATAACTCTAGACATGAGACTAGCAGTTTCGGAGAGAGATAAGAGTCTAGCTTCTCTAAAGTCCACTTTCGCACGGTTCATTCAAAACGGCTTCATCTGTGAAGCCAAAGCCGGTGAAGCCAGAAAAACTAGTTTTTTTCGGCTTCTAGTTCATTTTAACCATGACTTACAAAACGGTTTTCACGCTACAGTGCCTTTGATTTGTGTAAAATAGATGAAACCGAAGCCGACATAAGCCGTGCCAAAGAGACCCTAAGTTATACAAGGCGCGCCTGACTGATTGCGAAGCACGCATCAGTTGCTTCTGAATTCTACGTATGCCATACTGGTAATGATATTGATAGAATTAAGTAATTAAGGGATTTAATAATTACCTTAAGGTGTACTTGAATACGTGATAAAAGAAGTAGCGCTCCTGGAGTTTCTTCAAAGACTTCTCCTACGTATGGCCTCCTAGAAGTAGCGCTCCGTCGCCTCCGCCGAACAAGTAGCGCTTCTTCAAAGACTTCTCCGTTGTATTGGGAGTTCTTGACGACACTTATTTTCGCTTCTCGGACTAGGAGAATAGGTGCGAATAAAAGAAGTTCCCCAACAGTAGTACCAAGCGATAAAAGAAGTCCCAATGAGTGAGAAAGATGCGAAATACCTATTCTCCTAGAGTTTCTTTCGAGTGGCCGACGGGAACTCCATTCATTATTATATTCTCCTTTCAAGTAGCTGCTGCTGTTTTTCACGGTGATGCTGTGAGAGGAGAGGCATTGCCGCTGCCGCCACAGCGAGAGCAGCGGGGCTGCTGCAAGAAGCGCATCCGAACAGTCTCAGCATATCTTTTCCTGTTCTTCTACAGTTTTTCGTTGTTTTCCCTTTTGTTTTTCCGCGCTAGCAGGTAACAAATCGCCTGTGTTATCTACAGTGTTTCGCGTTTTTTTCCTTTTTTTTCCCCTGCCAGGTAAGAAATCAGAGTTTTTTTATACGTGCTGCCTCAACAATAGAATAATTAATGAGCCCGTCTTTATTTGATTTTGCATGCAAAAAATATCATGGCATCGTCTGCGCGAAGCGCGGAGACACCGGCTAGTATTCTACTTCCTCCATCCCAAATTGTAAGTTATTCCAAGAATCTTAGAGAGTTAAACTTTTTTAAGTTTGACTAAAATTATAGAGAGAAACACAAAGATTGATGACATCAAATAGGTATAATATGAAAATATAACTAATGAAGAATCTAATGATACTTACTTGGTATGATAAATATTATTATTTTGTTATATAAATTTGGTCAAACTTGAAAAACTTTGACTCTCCAAGATTCTTGGAATGACTTACAATTTGGGATGGAGGGAGTAGTAAAGATCTCTAAACTTGGTGACACGTACTGTAGTTGAACATGCAAGACTCAGTTTCTGTAGATCCACAGTGCTCTGAAAGGAAGCTGAACATGCTCTAAAATATTATATTAAAATATATAGTTGAACATGCTCTAAAATATATGCAATAACCGTCGTCTGAAAGAAAACTAAAATTCAAGCAAGTCTCATATTTTATATTAAAATTATAGATTTAGTTCGTTGCAATTTCTGTAGACATAATTTGCAATTTTCAGTTTTGAAAATAAAAAACCTGTTAGATAAAACTACAAACCCGATAAAATCTGATTTTTGTTGGCACAAAGACAATTAAAATTTTACAATTATTTCTATAGTTAGAAAAAGACAAAAAAATGATATGTTATGACACAAAACAAGCAACAAATCATAAAAGTAACAATTTAGTTGTACTAATTGGTGGTACAAGAGTGTTACTTGAAATCGTCTTAAAATTTAAGCACCTGAAATATGTTTATTTATATATCATATATGTCACTCTACATGAAGATGTCATGTTATAGAAACTAGAATGATATGACACTGCAACGCATAGTATCATGAGGTTATTTCTTAAAGTAGTCTCAAGATCCAGTCCTGAAACTAGCTACTCCCTCCGGTTTCCCCGAGAATGTCGTCTTGGACATGATTTCACGTACCAAGCAGTCATTAATTAGGGGTGTACGTTTCGCTCACATTAAATACCATGAAGGAGCACCTTTCGTCAATAATGCCTACTTGTTCAATTGGTTACTACCCCACGCCTGTTGTATGTTATGCCTTGAATATTTTTTGCATGGCATCGTGGTTAGGGCCTGGGGTGGCTTCGATTCCCTTCGCGCTTTCGTATTTTCGCGTTCCGTTGCACAGTTTTTTTGCTGCGCGCCGTGGCCGGCCTTTGCCGCTGCGCAAAGTTTATTAGAAACTAAAGCCCTCTTTGGCATGGTTCGTCCAAAACGGCTTCACTGGTGAAGCTAAAGCCGGTGAAGCCAGAAAAACTGGTTTTTTTCGGCTTCTAGTTTATTTTAACCTCGGCTTACAAAACGGCTTCACGCTACAGTGCCTCGATTTGCGTAAAATAGATGAAACCGAAGCCGGCATAAGCCGTGCCAAAGAGGCCCTAAATCACACACCGCAATAGTTTCTTCATAACATTCCTACAATTCCTTTTAATTTGCAGCCCCAGCACATACCTCTTCTCTCTCTCGACGCCGCTAAGGCATCCATGGCCAGGTGTCGCCGTTGCTCCTCCCAAATCCACGCCCTCCTAATTTTCTAATCAAATCCTATCTTTGATCTAACTTTGTGTTTGGGCTAGGATTGGGTTAGGATCTGCACCTGAACCACTTCATATGTTTTTTTGCTAATAGAGCGAGCTATTCAATGTTATGAAAACTTTATGATTTGGGGGGTTAAGATTGTCCTTATGAATCATATAAGATAATTGACTATTGTATTAAGTGTATCTGTGATAACGGGCCCAAAACATGTGTGCAGTTTTCAAAAGTTAGTTTTCGTGTCCAAGATGTATCATCTGCTCTAGATGATACCGATTTCTTCTTTCTCTTCCTAAATCTTGTACCATACCAACAAAATATTTAAATTTGCACTAGTTGAATACACTCTCTATCCCTGAATAAATTAATTTCAGGACTGACTTAAGTCAAACTTTTTATGTTTGACCAAAATTATAGAAAAAAATATATAAATATTTGTGACACTAAATTATTATGTTATGAATATAGAGTTTATGATGTATTTAATATTCTAATTATACTAATTTGGTGTTATAAATTTTGACACTCTTTTCTATAAATCCCGTCAATTAAAAAAAATGATCTTACTCAGAACGGAGGAAGTACATACAGCATGTTATTATATGCGTTGGGACTAGCATAAGGTGATGGCCCCGGTGATTCTGTCCCGTGAGCCACGCGGTAGTCTTTGGCCACCAAACTTCTGCTTTGGAGTCACACGTAAATCCCACTCATCGTGTACAATTAGCAGTGTTCGTTTGGCCTAGAAGCCAGCCGAACCGGCTGTTGCTGCTGCGAGCAGCAGACACAGTAAACTGCGATAAATATTTATTCTTGATTAATCGCTGTCAAGTCCCATCTGTTGTTGTAAGTAACTTGAAAAACCATTAATATCCAGGTCATGAATTCCGGACCCCTCCCTGAGCTTAAGTCAACAGTAAAAGGCGGCGACGGCAGCAGCAGCTCCCGGGATATTTGTATCGTGCGAGTAAAATTTAGGAGGTGTCACTGTTTGATACTAATTAGAAGGGCTAAATATGAGCTAATTATAAAGCAAATTACAGAAGCTGGGACTAATTCACGAGACGAATCTATTAACCTTAATTAATCCACCATTAGCATATGTTTACTGTAGCACTACGTTATCAAATCATGGACTAATTAAGCTTAATAGATTCGTCTCGCAAATTAGTCTCAATCCGTGCAAGTAGTTTTATAATTAGTCTATATTAAATACTCCAAATTAGTGTCTAAATATCCGATGTAACAGGAACTCAACTAGTTTAGGAGGGGTAGCCAAACACGCAAGCTCAAGCGAACACTGTTGGTTGTCGCTTATGCATGGTGGGTCGTGTGTCGTGTCAGTAATGTACCGCCTGTTTAGTTTCCAAAATTTTTTGCGCAGTATCCATCACATCGAATCTTACGGCACATGCATAGAGTACTAAATATAGACGAAAAAAAACTAATTGCACAGTTAGATGAGAAATCGCGAGACGAAACTTTCGAACCTAGTCTATAATTAGACACTAATTGCCACATACAAACGAAAGCACTACAGTAGCCAAAACCCAAAAAAATTTGCATCTAAACGCGCCCTTAATCATTTGGTTGTCGTGTCAGTTTTTACTGTGGAGACAATCGATATCCACTGCCACAAACTTAATGGACCCATGACACACAGTGCCTATGGCTTTTTCCTGCATGCCTGGTATAGCTGTCTCAAGTACTGTATAAACGAACTCTGATCTCTCGGTCACTAAATTAAAAGCTCAATGAACAATCCTTGACCATGAGCCAGCCAGAGATGGGCGACGAGGTGAGCAGGCTAGGCGCATGGCATGTCGGGTGACGTACGAATCAGGGGCATCTCGCGCAGCGTACGTCCACATTAGTGGTCGGTCATCTCCTCCGTGGACTCGAGCTTCCCCGCCATGTTGATGATGTTCTCCATTACCGGCCGCGCACACGTAGGATGCGACCCGGACTTGGTCTTGGATCCGATCCTGTGGCCCCAAGGCCAATTTTAAGGACCATGAGTTGATCCAAATTACCAAAAGGCTATGGCCTCATTGGTCCAATGAGTAGTATGAATCGACCTAAATATTTTTGTTGCTACTATAGACCATGAATAATATCAACTTTTTAAAGAAAAGATAAGACACAGGATTTTAGTTGATCACTTCGAAATTTAGATGTGTCCTAAAGTAGCAGTGTTGAAATTTTTTCATTTTTTATCAAATGATACCTTTTCCTCTTTGCAGCAATAAAAGGTTATGCATTATCATATTTGTCATCCAGTGCTGGAAGAATACGGTTCTTGGTACTCCAGGAATGGTTGCTCTTGACCTAGATGCAACACTGAAGGGCCTTTTTCATCAAGTCCTCCATTGTCTGGAGAACATTCCAAAACCTCAGGGGGAAAGTGTTCCTGCCATTACCGCTGACTTGACTGTAAGTTAACAACCTAATATCATATACAGATTTACTCAATGACCTATGAAGATATACCTAAATACCTAATTTTCCTACAACTTCCGCACTCTTGTTGTTAATACGATTTCCTATGCCCAGTAATAGGTAGATTGATGCAAAGGTTTTCTTGTTGATCCACACAACATTATACAATTTCAGTTTAAGTTTGTTATGCATTATTTCCAGCACTCACGCTTTCCCTCTCAAAACTATTTCATTTGAGCAGTAGCACATGTTTTAAGTCTACATGTAGATAACTACAGTTCTAATATTTATCAAGATTCTGGATTGTAAGGTAGTTTTGAATACTTTTCAATGCTGTTGTTGAAAAATTAACTTCTAGATATTGATGAGAATATATTTGCTTTACCACCAGAGCTATTTTTTGTTGATAAAAAGTGCTCACTTTGCTTCTCCTCAAACTCATTATCTATGAATTGTGCTCTATTGAACGTTACCTCACCCCTTTTCTATGTGTTGACAATTTTATGATTTTTAATCATGTTGGATGTTGTTAATAAACACCATATTCTATTGCTTGTTGAAACTTGAAAGTTCACACTTTTGGTTTTCTTTTACATTGCTGATTGCATTAGACAGCGAAAAGTATGTCACCGTGTATCTAATTCTATATGCTTAGTCTTCCATTTAAGTTTACCTTTTGAACTTTTCAAACCTGATATTGATGCTGCAGGATTTGCGTAAGCACTGGCTCTCCATTTTGATGATAGTCACGTCTTCACGATCCTCGATAAACATTAAGCACCTGGAGAAGGCTACTGTGTCTACTGGGAAGGAAGGTTTGGTGTCAGAAGGCAATGCTGCATATAATTGGTCAAGGTGATTGGAAAGATCTGCTTTAATTTGAGTTAGCTAGATTTTTATTTTTTTTTTTTTTTGCCAGCCAATATTTTTCTGAAAGGGACATGATTTGGAAAATGCTATCCTATGTGTTAATGGCATGTGGCCCCAGGCCCAAGCATGGGATGGTAATTTCCCATTATGCGTCTTTGCTGTGGTTAGTGTGGTATTGAGTTAACTCCAGCTTCTGTAATGTGCTTAGCAACATAAATAAATAATCCTATTTCATGCTCCTAAAATGACACCTTGTTTTATACCATCTTTATGCCATTTAACTGCATGTCCCTTATCCCTATATTTTACACTACTACAAATATAGTTGGTAAAGTAGAATAACTAAAGTAGTTGTTTATCGTGCATCCATCTGCATAGTTCTTGTTCTCTGTTATTGTGCTTTTGGCAAGAACTCAAATAATTGAATTTGAATCAAAATTCTTTAAGAATCATTTGAATCTCACTAACGTTAACGTGCTCTGCAGATGTGTGGATGAACTTGAGAGCCAACTCTCCAAACATGGAAGCCTTAAAAAACTGTACTTTTATCATCAGCATCTTACCACTGTAAGTTTATATTGCTGTGTGATTCGCATAGTTCTTTTCTAATAACTAGACTTTTAGGCTGACAATAAGTCCTTTTTTTTGGCTGGGACCCACAGGTCTTCAGAAATACAATGTTTGGCCCAGAAGGTCGGCCACAGCATTGTTGTGCTTGGCTTGGAGCAGCTTGCAGTTTCCAGAATGTGCTTCTGCAATTATTCCTAAAGAGGTGTATATTTGAATTCACTATATGATTTCAGTTTGAGCATTATTTTGATGCTTACAGCATCCTGAAGATGTGCTCTGCAACATGGCTGGCTTTGAGGATTAGTAAAATATTATAAGGAGACACATATGCTATTAAATTTTGCTTGGCAAGATGGACATTTGCTATGCTTGATCTGTTTAGCAAGAAGCAAGCCAGACGCCTATGCCTTGGGATGTGAAGGCTTTGAACTGCCATTGACATAATAATCCTATATGCTCCAACTCTTATTATGACATAACAATGTCCCCAATCTGTTACTGAGATTCCTCCTCTACAGGGCTGCACTTCTCTTCCGTGTTTGGCATATTAATTAGTGAATCTTTCTCTTCTGTGTTTGGCATATTAATTAGTGAGTCTTTCTTTGTTTGCAGTGTAGGTTAACAAAATTGGCAGAGATTCTATCTCTTATGTGGAGTCCCTTATTGAGTCTATCATGGGTGGATTGGAAGGTTTGATAAATATTCTAGATTCAGAAGGTGGATTTGGCTCATTAGAGATGCATGTAGATAACTTCTGAGTTTATATTTATGATTTTTGGCTTATAAGTTATATCTTTTAAGTCTCACTTCTAAAATCTTGCCAGCTTTCCCCAGAGCAAGCAGCTCTTCGCTTAAATAACACAACAAGAGCAAAAGGTGTTTCAAGCTTGTTAACTCCAGGATATGAGAGCTATCCTGATAATAGTTCATCAATCAAGATGTCAGTCAATTTGTTACTTCACACCACTGTTTAAATATTGCCATCATTCTATTGACTTCAGTATAATTATTTATGCCTCAAAAACAGGCTGGAAGCCGCTATGCAAAGACTGACAAGTTTGTGCTCTGTTCTAAATGACATGGAGCCTATTTGTGTTCTCAACCATGTTTTTGTTCTACGCGAGGTATGTACAGTTTATGTTCATAGGAAGTAAATATGCATGTTTGGGAACCTTACAACATGTTAGTTTTTTAGGATAACATAATAATATGCCATAATAAGATGATTGGTGGTTCATGGCTATTAAGCTGGTGGATAATATCCCTATTTTTCATGTTAAGGTAATAATAATCTTATGACAAAAGGGATCTAAAAAGAATGATGCAAGGAATTTTGTATTTTCAATAGGAAATTACTGCTTATGTTGTTTATTCCTTAAACTGGCATGCATATCCTTGTTTGACTTACAATTTTTTAGATAAAGGAAGCTTTTATTGAAATCAAGACAATTACATTGACTTGCTTGGCTTACCTAGATTCTGTTAATTTCACAGTACATGAGAGACTGCATCGTAGGAAATTTCAGGAGAAGATTTCACAGTATGATTAGAACTGAGAACTGCATTCAGCGACCATCAATCATAGAATCTCTTCTAAGAAGACATCTGGGCATCATCCATCTAGCAGAGCAGCATATTAGTATGGACCTTACTGAAGGCATACGTGAAGTGCTGCTAGCAGAGAGCTATACTGGTCCATTTCCCAATCTGCAAATGTTTGAGACTCCAGTGGGGACACAAGGAGGGGGATCTGCTGTTGAGATGATATGCAATTGGTATATTGAGAATGTAGTAAAGGATGCTTCTCACATTGGAGTTGCTTTTGATGCAATCCAAAATTGCTTCAGGAGCTCACAACCTATTGGTGGTGGATGTTTAGCTGAAGCATTTACAGATAAAAGAGAACTTAAATCACTTGTTCATCTTTTTGGTGGCTATGGAATAGATAAAATGGATAAGATGCTGAGGGAGCATACATCTGCGCTTTTAAATTGTATTGATTCATCATTGAGGTCAAATCGTGATGCCTTAGAGGGCCTAGCTGGAAGTGTAAATTCTGGCGATAGGATTGAAAGGGATGCGAATCTGAAGCAAATTATTGATCTTGAAACATTGGCTGACCTCTGTATTCAAGCAGGGCAGGCAATAACTTTCCGTTGACTGTTGATTGAGGCTGTTGGAGCAGTCCTTGAAGAGAAAGTACCTCTCATATATTCTCTGCTCAAAGGATTAGCCTTGCAGTTGCCAGACGAGGTACCTGATAAAAATGAGATAATTAGATTGAGAAAGGTTGCAAGCAGTGTTGGTGTTGGTGACAAACATGATGCTGAGTGGGTACACTCAATTCTGGCAGAAGCTGGTGCAGCTAATGATAATTCTTGGATCCTACTTCCATACCTTTGTGCTGCATTTATGGTGTCCAACATTTGGAATGGCGCTGTTTATGATGTCAATATAGGTGGATTCAATAACAATTTGCACTGCCTAGCAAGTTAAGGACTTGTTTCCTATAATAATGTTTGACTGGTGGAAGTCTATGTTTGATGTCAACATTTGTTGTCACCGGTATCCATGATAGACAAAGCCTCTTACCTTTGATTGTAGCTATTCTCATGAGACTAGTCTCTCACTATTATATTGACCATTGATTTCCTAAAATCCTTTCCTAGTGTTCTCATTCTATATTATAGATACTTTTTTTTTGAAAGTTTCTATTACACATAGTTGATGGATAAAAAGGATACTATTGGGAATAACAGAATCGAATCCACCTCTTGTATTGCAGGTGTGTAAGTGCTGTGGTTGGGGGAAGCGAATACACCAGGGTCGAAAGGGAGCAGCGAATAAATTCTCTTTCAAATGGGCATACAGATGAGCTGCAAGAGGCTGAGTTACCAAGCCGTGTCTCAGCAGAAGCAAATATTAAATCTTCTATGCAGATCTACGTCAAATTGTCTGCAGGGATCGTCCTGGACTCATGGAACGACACTAGCAGGTACTGGATTGAGCTGGTGCACATTGCATTTTTTGGATTTTGGTTGGCAAGGTTTTATAGTTTCTTTGCTGGCTTTTACATGACACTAAATGCAGGCCGCACATCGTTCCAAAGCTGATATTCCTGGATCAACTCTGCGAGCTGTCCCCCTACCTCCCAAGGAGCACCTTAGAAGTTCACATACCATACACCATCCTGCGCTCAATATACCACCAGCTATACGGAGCCTCACTGATGGCCTCGGAACAGATGGAGCAATCCCCAAGGCAGTCACCTCTGATCTCTCTAACGCACGCGTCCCCATCTGCAAGACAAAATCGACCAGAGACAACTCCCAGGTCCCACACTTTCGAGCCAAGCTACTACAGCTCGTCGGGGTCCCAGCACGATGATGGCTACGATGTGGATAAGAGGACTGGACAGCTGCGGAGCATGAGGCGCTCTGGACCGCTCGACTTCAGTGCGAGCAGAAAGGTGAAGTTCGTCGAGGGCTCAAGCTCCGGAAGCAGCTATGGGGCTGGCTCGCTGCAGAGATTCGCAGTGTCGAGATCTGGCCCTCTATCATACAGATAGGACCCACTACGTACAAAACGATTTATAGCAACGGTTTAATTTTTTTTTGTAGGGGCGGCTGGTGATGGAGCCGCCCCTATAAATGGAATAGCAGGGGCGGCTGGTGATACGAGCCGCCCCTACAAATAGAGTATAATTTTTAGGGGCGGCTCAATCACCAGCCACCTCTAGAAATGGTATTTATAGAGGCGGCTGGTGATTAAGCCGTCCCTAAAAATGGCCCGTATTTATAGCTTCTATTTGTAGGGGCGGCTCAATCACCAGCCGCCCCTACAAATGACATCCATATAAAACTGAAGCAGCACCTTCTTACTCCTCGGGTCATTCACTCCAACCCGTGAAAGAAAGTTGGGGAGGGCTTGGGCACCTCCCAAAAATTGCTCTACTAAGGGGGGAAAGTTTTGGTCTCAAATCCTTTGGTGGAGATGTTATAGAAGGTAAGAAAATGCTATTCCATACTTTTTTTTTGAAGTTTTAATGGTTGATTAGTGAATAATTAGAGTTTTGTTTTTCTCTCTCTTCTATGGTGCTTGAGCTATTTATGAGCAAATTAGACCCAACTTTTAAATGTACTAGGGTAAATTAGGGAGGGAAACAAGATCATACCCTTATTTGATCCATGTTTCTTGATTTTAGTGAACCATTAGTTAGTTTTATGGATGTTTCATGTGCATGTGATCTAGATCTAGGGTTTGGTTTTTTTATTAATTTCGTTTTTGTAAATTTATGTTTGATAAAATTAGACTAGGGTTTGTACGAAAGATATTGTGTAAAGTATAATTATTGCTAATTGTTGTCTTTGAAATTGTTTATTGTAATCAATAAATATGTATTTTAATTATTTATGGATAAATGGGCCATTAATTAATTTTCCTCTACCATGGTGTGTTTGTATGCTTCATGTAATTATATTAGATTTATATTCATATATATCTGAGGTATATACAATTATTCTCAAATAATTATTACTTTGATTAATTTTTTATATATATCGACTAAGTAGTCCTTTAATGTTTATTTTGTTGTTGTTGTAAAAGATGGAGTACAGGAACTCTTGGATGTATGGTTCGTTAAGGTTCAAGGCGGGTTTCCGTGAAGAGGTGGATAAATTTATTGAAGCCATAGCGAAGCATGCAACGACATTGAAAAGAGAATAAGGATACAATTATTTGCCCCCTGTAAAGATTGCAAGAAGCTGTATGGCATGGATGATGTGACTATCATCGATCACATTTGATTATACGAGGATTTGTTGAGGACTACGGTGTGGATTCATCATGGTGAAACGGTTATTGTTAATGACGAGGATGAGGAGGAATACGACGATGAAACCATAGAATCCCTGTCCCAATATTCAGCCGAGCTTGATACACAAATGGATTTCGAGTTTGGCAATGAACAAGGTGGTGATCTTTGGTGGTTGGGATGGTAACGACGAAGGTGGTGCCAATAATGATGGTGGAGCACGTGTCGGAGTTGAAGATGATTTAGATGACATGATTGAACCCTTGGACCGGAGATTTTACTAAATAGCCCGAAAGGTCTAGAAAATTTGGAAAGAGTGACAAAAGCATCGAAGGAGACCGTGTATGGTGTTGAAAAGGGTTGTCCGAGCACATTGGACATTGCTACGTTTTTCGTGCTTGTCTTGCTTCATCCGAAGGCTAACGGCTGGTGGTGGGACTATAGTTTCAATGATCTATTGCATCTCTGTCATGGTTGCCGCCACAACCAAACTCAGTTCCGCCAACACATACCAAGCGAAGAAGATCATAAGTCCATTGACAATGGGGGTTGAAAAAATGCATGCATGCCCCAACCATCGTATACTTTTTCATGGTGAAACGTTCAAGTCATTGGATAAATGTCCCCGGTGTGGCGCCGGTTAAGTACAAGAACAATGACCTTTACGGTGGGGACGAACCATCCACGGGGAAAAAGAGGAATAAGAAGGGTACAAAAAAGGTGGTACAAGAATCTCAGCCCCTAGAGGACACTCCATTAGGCAACGATGCAAAGCAGAGAAGAATTCCTACCCTGGTAATGTGGTACCTGCCAGTGACCGACCGCTTGAGACGTATGTTCCTAAACCCTAAAGAAGCCGCACTCATGACATGGTGGGATGATGAGCGCAAGGTGGATGATGATAAGATTGCACACCCGGCTGATTGTAGTCAGTGGCAAAGGTTTGATGAGAAGCACAAAGAATTCAGCGATGACCCAAGGAATGTACGGTTTGGCCTGAGCACCGATGGAATGAATCCCTTCAATGAGAGGATGAGCAACCACATCACATGGCCAGTGATCTTGACCATGTACAACATCCCAACATGGTTGTGTCAGAAGAGAAAGTACCTTCTCCTCACTATTCTTATTTCTGGCCCTAAACAACTAGGCATTGATATAGACGTGTTCCTCGAGCCCTTGATGCAAGAAATGGAGAGACTATGGAGGCATGGAGAGTAGATGTATGATGCGTTTCGAAAGGAGGACTTCATATGTAGAGCAATAATATTTGTTACTACCAATGATTACCCCGCGTTGTTTGCTTTGTCTGGACAGATCAAAGGGAAGACGGGATGCTTGGTTTGCTTGGATGGTACTATATGGGTGTACCTGGATGCATCCAAGAAGATAGTTTACCTAAGGAACCGACGCTTCTTAAAGACAAGTCACAAGTACCGCAGCAAATTGTTCTTTAGATTTTATGACAACGCCCTGGAGATTGAACCCCCTCCGGAGAGACGTCATAACGGAGAACATGTGTACAGAATGGTGAAAAATATACGCGTCGTCTATGGAAAGAAGAATCCAGATGGGACGAACAGAGATAGAAGCACACCTCCTATCGAAGGCGTACCTTTCAAGAAACAATCGATCTTCTTTCAGTATCTGCCTTATTGGCCAGACTTGGAGGTCCCCCATGCCATTGATGCTATGCACGTACAGAAGAATGTCTTTGAGAGTCTCATTGCTACCTTGATGGACACAGCAAGTCAAAGGATGGTGCGAAAGCACGGAAAGACATGGTGCGACTAAACATGATGCCACAGCTTCACCCGTGCACCGAGGCTAATGGAAAATACACTCGCCCATGGCGTGCTTCAACCTAACACCGCACGAGAAGAGAGCTATATGCACTTTCCCGAGGGGGATCAAAGTTTCATTGGGTTTTCAGCAAATGTGAAGAAGCTAGTGTCGATGAAGGACTTGTCAATAACACATTGCAAGGCTCACGATTGCCATATGATGTCGATGTGATGTTTCTACCTATTGCAATCGGGGCTATAAAGCCGAGTTCTTAAAATGGCCATCACCGCATGTGCTACTTCTTTTCAAGATCTCACGTAAGACGATTGGCAAGGAAGAGCCTGAGTGACCTACATGAATTTGTGGTGGAGACACAAAACCAAGCTGGAGATGTGTTTACCTCCCGCTTTTTTTGATATAATGCCACATCTCATGATTCACATGGTTCATCGATCAGCGCTTGGCCCTTGCTACTTGCATGAAATGTGGTCCTATGAGCGGTTCATGTCGGTTTTAAGTCGATACGTGCATAATCGAGCATACCGAGAGGGCTCCATGATAGAGGGTTACTGATCTTGAAAGTCGTCGAAAGTCTTTGTCAAGAGTACCTAAAAGTACAAAAAGGGATTGGTAAACCCGATTCTCGTCACAAAGGGAAATTTGGTGGGAAGGGCAGAAGTGGTAGAAAAGTGTTCATCGACCATGATTACAAAGAGGTGAGTCGGGCGCATTACAGTGTCTTGCAGAGTACACAACTAATGCAACCGTATATTGATGAACACTTGGCTATCATTATGGCGGAGAGAAATGGCCGTTCGGATGATTGGGTCATGAAACAGCACAAGCAACGACTAACTATATGGTTGAAGGACCAAAACATACCGCCTGGAGAAACCATAGACTCTATTACCATCAGTAGGTTGGCGGAGGGGCCATCGAGACAAGTGACATCTTGGAATGCTTATGACATCAATGGGTACACGTACTATACCCACGCAAAGGATAGTAAATATGTGAACCAAAACAGCGGCGTTCGAATAGAGGCTCTCGATGGATTCGGGCGAAAGATCCAATACTTTGGCATCATTGAAGAGATATGGGAACTTGACTATGGAAGGGATATAACGGTGGCCCTGTTTCGATGCCGCTGGATCAAACAACACCAACTAAACGAGATCGGATTGAGAGTCCTGGACCTCGAGAATCTAGGCTACCAAGATGACCCTTGGGTGCTCGCTTCACGTGTCGCACAAGTTTTCTATATGTCTGACCCACAAAGTAACCTCCCCCCGAAGAAGAAGACAAAGCACGTGGTTGCCTCCGGGAAACAACACATTATTGGAGTTGATGGCGAGGACGATGTTGAAGCTTACAATAACTATGATGAGATGCCGCTATTCACAGACTTTCCTAAGAAGATCAGTGGTGTGGAAAAGAACATCCCCAAAGATATAATGCCATGGGAACGAAAAGGTGTCAAGGGGAAAGTCGTTACAGCGGGCTAGCTAGTTGTGTGTGTTTGTAAGGCTTCATTTATGCATGCGTGTGAGACTATATATTTGTGTACGTGTGTAAGACTACATATTTTTGTATGTGTGTGAGACTACATTTTATGCATGTGTGTGAGACTACCCTTTGCAACATCCAGATGACTCTATTTGAACATCCACTCTACTTGGTCAAACTTGCTCAAATGAGACATACATGACCTCAGATGAAAAAACTCTGAATACCAAGTTTGATCATCTCAGCAAGATCTACAATTGTTACATAGCTCATTTTCCTATTTGATAAAGTTTTATCAAACACTAGTCACAAATTCTTGAATCTCATAGACTTTCTGAAACTATGTCACACACTTGTGAAATTTGAACTACATTTTGTTCAAACTTTCTCAAATAAAAAAATGGACTATATAAGTATTGTAGATCTTGATGAGCTGAACAAACTTGGTATTCAAAACTTTTCAA